TAATACAAGAACAAAATATAAATGACCCCGAGGTTAAAGTTTAGAGTATGATTGACCCGAGGTCAAAGTTCAGAGTATGATTGACCCCACAAACTGACTGACAGATAACGACAGCCTTCTGGTCTATGTTTAGAATTATCTATTATGAAATATATTTATATGAATTATGCTATATATATTTTTGATATAAATATTTTATTAAATCATATAATTTTGATATAGTAGTTTTAAATTGAGTCCGGTTGATTTGGGACTTGATTGTATTCCTTACCAGATCGTAAAGATAATTTGACCAATGAAAAGTATCGTCTCAAAAGCAGAAATTTGTAACTTTTGAGTTGTGATGAGTTGTGATATCTCCACGACCTCGTAAAGAATCTAAGCACATTCGACTTCCTCCACAAGATAATGTGGAAACCAATTTAAAAAACATATATATACTAGCATCTTCCTTGAACATATCAAAAGTACAGTGTTTCCCATGTCAACCTCGTACTAGGTGCAGAGGTAATGAATATTCAATCATCACAATTCTACATATGGTTGATTTGTAAATATGAACACACGCAAACGACTTTTACAAAGCGTTGTTTTGATTGGTTAACATTTCCCGCTACATACAAAGTAATTTTGATAAAGTCATCCGCTGTCCCATTGATATATTGGTAAAAGGTGCGGTTTAAACGACGATCATTTAAGGGCTACATCATTTGGCAATCCACGGCAGTTTCCATAAAGCTGAAGGCTTTGAGAACTTTCACAATAGACCGTACTTCTCTTGAGAACTCCGGCCATATAATAAAATCCGTACAAGCAATACAATTCCGTTGATCAAAATCTCTTCCAAAGTATGGCAAAATCGGGAGTAAAAGTTGTATAGTAGTGGACTCCTTGGAAGAGAAGAACCATCAGTTGTTCAGAAAAGAGTAAACATGGTCTGTTATATCTATTTAATTCTTCCGTGTTACTTTTTGATTATTGTATTCCATAATGTAGAGTTAAGACACCCCATCATATTCTATTCATACAAATGTTCCTAAAAAACGACATTCAGAGACATTATTCCGTGACGTTTGATGCTCCAGTTTTTAGACCGGAAATACAATTATCCTATTTCAATAGAAGTTAAATTACAATTCGTTTTAGAAAATGTTATTCGAACCTGAAAAAGTTGTGATTTCCACACTTCACGAGAGCTGTATAACTAAATTTTTTATTCAAGTGATGTCTTTATATAAGATGAAGATGAACACGAATTGGAGTTTTACGTTCATTACTGGCTATTAGGCTCAAATGGGAAATGGCCACCTTTCTTGTATCATGTAAGTTTGTAAATGAAGCGATATTTTTGGATTGTACGCTAACGAATACAACCAATCAGAGGCCTCGACAGAAAGCCGATGATCACAAAGCCATAATGTTTACAGCCTTTCTGTTACGATCGTACAATTCAATCCACTCGCTACATTTCCTGATACAAGAAAGGTGGTTATTGTAGTCAAGGTATAAGACGAAGTTCGTATTAGTTTGACAATGTGAAGATGTGTAAATGGTGTTTATTCTGTTTTGTTCTGTCAACATCAACTGACAAGTTGAATGTCAAATTAAAACAAAAGAAACATCCAGACCGACCTGCTTCGTGAGGTCAAAACTTGGGCAAGACGACATTGAGTGGGGAATCCAGGGGGAAATCGTCCACAGTCTACATCAGTTAAAATTAGTAAAATATTGAGTTAAAGTAAACATTTCGCAAATATATCGCTTACACTTAATGAATTTTGACGGTTTGAAATGTCCCGTGTTATTAAGGGAATACGTGTTCTCCAGGTTTAAATATAACAGCTCTTTAAAGTAGGACTATGCACACGATATACATGTTATTTTTAATGCGACCTTCGACTTAATTAATCACATTAGATTATAGAATGTTTGCTCATCGTTACTTCCGGTTGTTTTTAAGACAAACGGGAAGTAGAAATGTAAATGGATAAAGTCGTCTTAATAACTGATTCGCCATTTGATAAAGCTGAATGTCAGTTCTCATTAGCATTTTCCAGAATTAACAGAATGCTTGGTTCTTCTTTTTATATTATTTTATGTATTATCAAATTGAGCTCTCTCAACTATTATAGCAAATATTAAGGGGACAGATGCGCGATTTTGGGGTTGATTTTTGGACTATATGTAATTAGTCTTCAGAAGTACTAGAATCGTTTGATAATCGCATCATCCCTTCAAAAATACCCCAAACTAGGAATTTCACTTTTATTTCTATACTTTATGTTATTTTTATATATGACTTATATAAGTCTTAACACGAGTCATCATTTTTAATTTTAATTGCGGATAATTCTGGACACATGGATTTGAAGGCTCAAATTTCGACGGTGAGCTATAAAAAAATGAGATTACGGTGCGATTTGTCAAACTGATGGCAATACCTGTATCTTTAATCAATATTTTATTGTTTTATTTTTCAGAAATGTACGACATGGTTATATCCAGAACAAAGACGAAAATATGACATTTGTATTGATTCAAGAAGACAAATAGACAATCATCTGTAAAACATGAAAGAAATATGACTTGTAAGAGAAGGCGCATTTGTATTAATTAAAGAAGACAAATCATTATCATTTTGAGTCTTTACACAAATAATATAATATCGACGCCATTATTCTCAGTGTGAAATAGTCGGATTTGTCATGTCTAATTAGTGACACAGCGCCCGGCCTAATTTTTCTCGAGTAGCTAAGACACATTCATAATCTTTAAGGCTTTTATTTGCCTTTTGAGAGAATCCCATGTAGCATTAGAAGAGTAATATTATAAAGTTTATATTTTTAGAGAAATCTGTGGTTTAACAGCACTATAAGCTGTGTATTTTTTTTTATGGCACTCTGTAAATCAATGTTCCATCATGACTAAAACTGCTGGTAGTGGTATTTTTTTTTACATTAATCAGATTTAGTGTACACAGCAATAGATATGCTCGGGCTTGATACCCCAAAGCTGGTGACACAGAACATATTTACAGCAAACCTCTTGACACAGAACATATTTACACCAAATTTCTTGACACAGAACATGTTTACATCAAACCTCTTGATACAGCCCATATTTACACCAAACCTCTTGACACGGAACATGTTTACACCAAACCTCTTGACACAGAACATATTTACACCAAATTTCTTGACACAGAACATGTTTACATCAAACCTCTTGACACAGAACATATTTACAGCAAACCTCTTGACACAGAACATATTTACAGCAAACCTCTTGACACAGAACATATTTACACCAAATTTCTTGACACAGAACATGTTTACATCAAACCTGTTGACACAGGTCATGTTTACATCAAACTTATTGACACAGACCATTGTTTACATCAAACCTGTTGACTCAAAGCATATTTACCTTAAATATGTTAACCTAGAGCTTGACACGGAACATATTTACATCAAACCTGTGGGAATGTCTTGTGTTGTTGACACAGAGACCCTTTTCAACATATTTTTTCATTGACCAAACCAATTGACAAAGACTATTTACATCAAACTTTTCAACACCGAACCGATTGCTATTCTATAGTAGAACATAAAATTAATCATATAATGACAAACAAACAGTATGAAAAAAAAATCGAATATCATTTAACCATGCACTACAATCAAAAATAGATTTTCATTTCATATAATTATCAAAGCCTGTAATTTTCATGTGATATTTGACGATTTCTATTAGTTAAAACGATATCAGCTTGTAATTCAACGTTGGATGTTTTTAATTGAAACAGTAGGTAATGTTTGGTTTCATTTTCCATCATTGGATCTTATAGTGTCAATTATACACCATACGTTTAATTGGAGATTCATTAACGGACTGACACAAACATAAACTAACTCAACAGTTAACGAACGCGTTATTAAATGGTGACCACTTACCAGTTAACGAACGCGTCTTAGCAGTTTTTTATGTTTTTTTTTTTTTTTACCAAATTGCTGACCAGTTAACGAATGCGTCATAACAGCATTGATAAACTGGAGACCAGTTAACGAGCGCGTTTGAACAGTTTTATTCAATTGGTGACCAGTTAACGAATATGTCTTTAACATTGATAAAATATTACTGACCAGTTAGCGAACGCGTCTTAACAGTGTTATTAAACAGGTGACAAGTTAACGAACGGGACTTACAGTTTTATCAAATTGATGACCAGTTAACGAACGCGTCTGAAGAGTGCGATATTGTGTTTTTTGCGAGATGTAACGAATACAACATCAGTATAATCGGGCAATGATATTTGTGAGCATCCAGGATGGTTCAAAACATAAACACGATTTGAATTTAATTAGTAATCAACACAATGTAAGTTTAGCTTGTATTTTACCCATAATATAGGTGTCAAAATACAAGAGACTGCACCTGTTTAGTGTTTACGTTTTAAATAGTACCCGGATGTGCACTTTGCTCTTTTATCGGTCATTACATCGATAATAAAAGCATTCCTCAACAGTAGACTACGCATCTGATAAATGGCTATTTGATCTGGTAAAGGGAAGAATTCCGGACAATGGCTAAGTTATGAGTATCCATGTAAGCACGTGTAAACTGAACATTACTCCAATTAGCGAAGTAGATACACGTGTAGTGTGATCATATATTGTCAACAGAGTATAAATTGGGTATATCTGTATGGAGATATACAGGATTTTAATGATAATCCTTACTTATTTCGTGCATTTGCTGCAGTATGTATTCCTAGACTTACATTTAATATAAATATTCCACATGTATACGTAGATATAGAAGAGGGGCTTTGTGATAGAGGCTACGTTATTGATTACTTTCACTTTTTACTAACGCTGCATTCGTTACGCCTGGGAAATATGCGATTTTCGTTAATAACATTACGTGTAGTAATTTTGGGGCTTAAGCATTTGGGTTGGTTAGAACATGTGTAACTGTGTAGGTTCGGTTTTTCAAGTCGATGTTCTCGTATCAATCTCGTATTTTAGGCCACCGAGTCAAGATCAAGATCAAGAAAGCAATGTCCAGTAGCTGTATTCGTTCAGATTCTGACCATAGTTTTAACTCTCTCCATGAGATCATTCTGCAGAAACGAAGGTCTCAGTTAGTCAATAAGCGAAGAAGAAAAGCTGAAGAACCAGAGAGAGGTCTGCGAGAATTTTCAGAATCGAGTGATAGCGATGTTTGCTCAGGACAAAATTCAAATGTGAATCATGTTCGATCTAAAAGCAAATGGTTATCGAACGAGTCTATGTTTGAGTGTCGAAGGCTTTCAGTGGCTCTGAGTCCAATCAAAGAATCAAACCGCACAGAAACAACTAAAACAGGGACCTCGAAGGATCCATTCGCTTGGGAAAGTTTATCAGATGTGGAACCCATACAATTTACCGGGGCACCGAAACAATCAGAATTCACAACCAAACCTGGTATATTCGAAGTGTATAACTCGCCAGAGAAAGTATCTCAGAAACAGAAGAAAATCAACACCAAACAAACAGTTGTTAGTGTCAAAACCGCAGATGTAAGAAATACGAAAGGAATTGGAAAACGAAAATTTTTCAAAAATCCCAGTCGAATTTGTAATTGGAGGTTTGATAAAAGGACGTTTTGGACCAGGTAGCTTAAATTGTATTCTGTATAAATCGAGGAGATCTTAGTTATTTATATTGATGTTTTTATAACTACCGCAGGACGACATCCTGTTATCTTCGATAATTTTGAATACAATTAAATGCTTGTCGGTTTCGATTTAATTCTATCATAAACGCCGAGAGGTTATTCAAACCGATGTTTTAAACAGTTTCGATTGTAATTTAATTCTATCATAAACGCCGAGCTATCATTTAAACCGATGTTTTAGACCATTCCGATTGATACCATCCTGATTATCATACACGTCGAGACATTTTTCAAACTGATATTTTAGACGGTTTCGACTGTAATTTAATTCCATTCTGACACCATTACGAGTATTTGATGTTTAAATAAAAGCTAGTAGACAGAAATGATGTTTGTAATCAACATCACCATGTCAAACACATTGTTTTTTTAATATCTCTAGCAATTATATTCTATAGATTCCCACTGCGATTTCATCACGATATAGGTTTCTATAACATGGATTCAGACCAATATAGAAACCTGAATACATGACTAGACACGTACAGTCCATATTCCAGTCTGAGCTTAAAGTCTTGTTTTACAGGTTTCTTGAGGATTGTCTACTTGCCATCTGGTGCTTTCCTTACCAAAGTCTCTGGCGCCCAGACATTTTTCGTCGAAGCTGTTCGTTAAGAATGAGGGACTGAATGATAGAGCATATTCTTACCCGAGGATCAATTTTGAACGTTAAAGGAATTGTATATAGTAAGATTTTCTAGACTTTTATATGTATTTTGGACCATATGTGGCATCCATGTGCATTATTTCATTTTTCCGTAAAATGTTTGTGGTTCCTGTAATTATAGAAAAGCTTATCAGTATGTGACGTCACTATCGCAACATCTGAGGGCCACCCCGATAGCTACCTCATGAACGTTTAGGTTTGGTAGAATTCAAGAACCACACACGTCTGATTGAAAATTTGAATGGTACAAATCGTTGCTACACAAAATAGTTAAACCTCTATACAATCCCTTAAAGTTTGCTTAAGGAAATGGTTGGCGTGGGCGCCTTTCTTTTAAAGAGACAATTGCTAAGTATTACGGTCGATCCCTTGATTAATTGGTTCAATTTGTCACCCACCTTGTCAAATATTCCATAATATTATTGATATTGATATTCCAGTTTCTAGGAGAACTTGACCTGATTCCAGAGATCACGTCAATTGTCTGACAGCACTGAGAGACTACACCCATTCCATTATTTGAAGAGATATTGTCGTCCAAATAGCCCAACTTTAGACTATAATATAAGCTGGTTGGTTGTAACATTCAATATGTATTGATGAATCACCACAAAGCTGAAAGTAGACCAAAAGAGAAAATGAATAATTAGGGCAAGTCTACAGGGTAACGTGATAATAGAATATGGAACAAATATTTTGATAAATCTACGAAATCGAAAGATTTATTATTGTCCTATATAGAAACTAGAATTCACTTTATCATTTTGGGTTCAAACATAAGCAATTAATAACAAAGTGGACGTTTATGAATTAGAAATTAGGTCAAATTAACTAATTGGGACACGTTAACCAGGTCAAAAGTGAATAGTGGAGAGGGTGGAAGTCAAAATGTAGATCAACCCATGGATAATTAGGCCACATCAAGGGAAATAAAATATGAACTAATTTCTGTAATAATCTGGAATTTTAGCTATTTAATGTCACCATTGGTACTGTCATAAACTCCTTATCTGCGATACTTATAGTTTAATGTTGGACTGAATGTCCAGAAGGTGACCCGAGGTCACGTCATGACCTGTGACCTTTTTAACCTCTGACCTCTGATAAGTATCAAGTCATTAACTGTTCCATACATCCACCTCATTTGGCATCAGATTTGTCCTGCAACGCTTTGATATTGAGAATTTCGGCAATCATCTTTATGGTATCATATTCGATAAGTTCGGCGGAAGTGGAATATGAATCTTAAAGAGCTTCAGTTTGCTATTTTGGAACTTGACATCGAAAATTCAGGACATTTGAAATTCAAATAAAAATGTCGTTCTTCGAACAGGAAGTCTAAATGGTGTACAAAGAAGCGAGCGTCTAAAATTCGCATACAGAGAGTGGAAAATCTTTTTAGATACCCCTTTTCAACCCCCTGTCATTGTGCTACAAGCTATGTACGTAAAAACTCGCTAAACAGTTGGAAATCGAAAAAGAGCTGTCCTGGCAAAATTTCCCCCATACGCGCACTGCATTAGCGCATTGGGTGCGTTAAACTCCATTCATTCCATTTATTTTAAAGTTGCGTGTTCGTTTCATTTCTACACCCTTTCTGAGTGTTTTTCTTATACTGTTGATTAAAAGATTCTGTAGGACAATTCCAATCGACATCAGTCACAGTCTCAACAAATACTTGTAATTTATATTACGTTTATGTAAAGTTGTAAATCACTCCAGGATGAAATCACATATGAAGCAACAGTAATACGACCATTTGTATGAAATGAGGTATAAATCGGAGAAGAAAAGCAAGGTCTTAACCACCATCATCTATAAATACCAACAAACGTTTCGTTTCCTTTTTTGGTACTTAAAAAATCAATGCCGATGACTATTTCGTTTTCTGTTTAATCAAGTGTATAATGAGATTCCGAATTGAGCCATTTGTACGGAACATTGACACACATTCACACAATAAAGCTTTTTTAAAATGGTGTACTAGTTATCTAGATAGTTTTCTTAAACCTGATTCGAATATACTGATTTCTTATGTGGTACAATATTCTCTTTGAACATCGGTTAAAAAGTCCGCGATGGGCGTTAATTTGTCTTCTACCAAACAACTACATAAACCGGAAGTTACATATGGCGCGAAAATGGGCATTGCAAATATTTTTGCCCTACTGGTTGGTCGCCTGGGATTCAATAACATCACAAAAGAATGTCTTGCAATTCTTAATATTCTCCCACCCCACCCTTGTGATCCTGAGCTATAGCTATACGGGCCTGTATACAACAGAATCATTTTAAGACATGGCTTTGGCTGGTGGTCGATCCTAGGTGAGAACTATACATGTATTGGTTTATTAGGAATCTCTTGAAGTGTTCATTATTCCGGCCATAAGATGTCAGTACTGTCTATCTAATCAGGCCCTGATTGGCACAGACCGGAAGTAGTTACGTAATTCTCCTCATTAACTAAAGAGTCGAATCTAATGACATTTTGAAATTGCACCAAGATGATGGGCGTACCATGCAATGTGCGATATATTTAGCCAATAAAGGAGTGTTGTGCCGCCTACTCTTTCACCTTTATCAACTTCATATGTTGTGGTCCAGGAAGTAAAACGCAGGACCTCTGGTGTTGTGTCTTGTCGGCAAACGACAAGACGTAAATGACATATCAGCCTGCATCACTTACACTTGCATCGCTTCGAAAAATGAGAAGGTATTATCTCGATCTTTGCCGTGATCGGACCCTAAACCCTTAAATTAGCGAGCAAGCTTGCCCAGTCTAATAAGAAGGCTGTTATCTTCAATTTCCATTAAGAAATTGCAATGGCAATGAAAGTGTTTGGAGACTTGAGAATCTGGTCAAGAATTCGACTAACTGATTTCAGTACAGTAATTGAAATAAACCTGACCGGAAATGACATGTCAGGAGTAATTGACCATGGTATATTTTGATTGACGTGTACTTGACATGTTTACTCGTGAAATCCTTCTTTCTCAGTCTTACTAAGTTAGACTATTTCGGTTTCTAGTAACTAATAAGCTCGTCATTAGAATGTCAACTTCCAGCTTCTCAGTAAAGTATTAAGGGGATCAATAGGCCATAAGCCCCCCACCTTCCACCCCTCGGGTGATTAACTGGGACTCCTGGTCTCTAGGGGCCTCTGGTAGCGCCAATTTTTGGCCCTCTCTCCAGGCATGTTTTAGATACGCCCCTGCAGCTTCTTGAACGGATATAATCATCTAAATAATATGATCTTGTCAGATGCAGTTTATCGTCTGGATAAAAATGGAAAATATCATTTTTCAAAGTTTATTGGCAACCCCGGGCTATGGAATCCGACTCATTGTGAAATTCTCCGGTGTCAGTGATGCAGGCTTGAGAGGCTAATATGTCAAGAAATAATGGAGCGTCAATCAAGACAAGAGTATGCTAGATGCAAATGTCTTTTTAAAATTCTATATGGGAAATGAATGGAGTTTTACGTCCTGCTTTTCTATAACTAAGGATACGGGTTGATGAGAACTCTATTTCATCACAAAAAGTCCGTTTTTTTTACAGAAATTTACTACATATTTTCTCTTCATATACGTAAATTTCTGCTGATATACATACTTTTCTGTTGATTTACGGACTTTGTTCTTACATTAACAGAATGTTAGTTCCGCAGTAAGGAAATATGTTATTTTACGTAAATTAATCTTGGTCGTATGTCACTTAACAACAATTACGTTATTTGTCAGTAAATTTACGTAAATTCTGTGTTATTATCATGTATGTCCAAACTTGTCTGTAGATAAGCGAAGTCCGCGCATGCGTGGGAATACTGTCTTTTTTTGACAGGAACTTTGTGTTTCCTTACGGAAAATTATAACAGAATTGCTGTTAATTTACGGAAACTGTGATTTTGCGTTATATGATATTTTCGACCTGCCAATCAAAGTAGGTATGACGTCATCGGTAAAGACACGAGGTCAGTCTATCGTCACGCCGCCATCTTATCCCACATCAAAACAAGGCTACGCCGAAGGATTTTTGTGAATTTCTTAAATTAAATTGAATATGGTGAGATGCATGGAGAACTTGAAATGCTGACCCGATATTCCACCACTCATTCCTGTTCTATTATCACCCTTTGTCAAAAACTGCTAAATGTTTTACTGAATTTTAAGCGTGTGGGAACAACGACAAAATGACTTAAATTTATCCTACACGATGAACTAGACTAGGCTTAGCTTAATTGGTCTTGGGTAGAGTGGAAATGATCACTGAATACAAATTCACAGGTGAGTGTATTTTAATTATTGCCTAAGTAAATTTGTAATGTTACCATTTTATCACTTTATACATGTGTGGTATTTGTGGTCTGAAACTTAGATCAGTCTTGTTAAGAGTCATCTTTCTGTTTAGAACTCTTCTGTCTAAGAGAGTAGAAAAATTATTAATTTTCATCATGGCAACGAAGTCCTCAAGTTCATTTCTCTAATTCTTAAGTTTAGTCAACCACAATGTAAGTTTATACCCGATTACATAAGAAAGCCTCCGACGATATGAAATATCACAGGATCCATAATTTCTATTGCAATTTTTTGTTTTTTCATCCTCTGCTGTCTGAAAACTTTTACCAAAATGTAAACAAACCCCACAAAATGGCGCCAAATTATGCATAGATCCCTCAAGTCAGTTTTCCCACCAACTTTGTACATGTGACACTATATTAAATGTTTGTACCTACTATTAATAACATTTGCAATGTCTTATCGATGCCTGGAATGTCAAACTGTGCAACCTGCTTTTAAGAAATTATTTTGTACGCCACCCATGTCTGCTATACATAAGTGTGTCATTGCATCATGCTCTTAAATTCCATCCACTTTCTTATGCCTCTACTATTTTATTATTTTTAATTTATAATTTCTTTTTCTGTTTTTGTTCATCCTTGCTTTTTTTGTACTTTCAGCCTTTTACGGTTATGAGTAAGAGTACAATAATACAAGGAATGAGAACTCTGTCATTAATCTTGTCAATAAACCTTAACCGTTTACACTCAATGTTAGGACCCACTACGTGGGCGAAGCATTACACAATTCGTAAACGAGGGCGGATTGGACACTGGATTTCTCGAACTAAAAGATCCAGTGCCCTACTATTACTACAATACTACAGTACGTTAGCACAACAAATATTTTCTCAATTTAAATTTATCTTTTCAGGTATGTCACCTTTTCCCTTTCTTTAGAGTTTCTGCCATCATTTACCAGCTAAAAGTTACAGAGCATTATGAGACTTGACCTGACTTTCGAACGAGCAACAATTAACTGTGCACATCAAAAACAATTAGGCCTTATAATAATGATTAGAGTTGCATCATAATCAGTATTGCGCTGGATGATGGAGTCTTATAACCTTGTGGAACACTAAAAAAAAGTACTATGTCCAGAAGTAGTAGCATTACTGGATCACAGGTCCTTGAAGTTCTGTAAATATTAATAAAATATGGGCAATGTGGAGAAAAGAGTGTCAACATAAATATAAAAAAAGACATTAGTTAAATCAGAACGTTGTCATTAGTTAGAATGTTATGAAGATGTCATTAGTTAGAACGTTATGAAGATGTCATTTCTTATGAGAATATCATTAAGAGATGTCATTAGTTATCAGAATGTTAAAGATGTTATTAGAGACGAGTATGTATTTCAAGTTCATCATTTGTTTTTATGCAAGAGATTGTTTTTATACGCCCACATTTTCAGTTGTATGTACAATTAAAGATGTAGTTAACATCATTTTCTCTGATTATTTACAATGCACAAATAATATCAATAAACAAATAAAGTTAAAATGTTTTGTTATTTTTTACAGAAAAATGGAAATGATTTCTGGCAACAGATTTATTACCAGAATATCCTTTTTAAAATTCTGTTTTTTTACAGAACTGGAAGGAAAAATTACGGCAGCAGATTTACCAGACTATTCTTCCTATTTTCTGTTAAATTACAGGAAATATTAGAAAAATTCCGGCAGCAGATTTACCAGAATATCCTTCCTATTTTCTGTTAATTACAGGAAATATTATTAGTCATTCTGTAATTTAACAGATTTTGTCGTAAAATATTTCTGTTATTTAAAGCAGATATTTTACAAGAAATTCTGTTATATAACTGAAGTCAAAATTTAAATTCTGGTAAATCAGCTGCCGGAATTTTTTCTGTTAATCGAAAGAAATTTTTTTTAGTGATTTTATAAATGTATGAATGGAAGTTAGAGTCTTTATGACTTTTTCTGTATTCGGCTATACGGGTTGTATTAGCGACTCGTCCTGTTCCAGACCCAATTCTACAATGTCTTCAAGAATAAATATTAATTTTCACTCAAAAATGATTGAAGTCGTCTGTTGTTTTTCTCATTGCTGCGAGGACATCGGGAAATGAGCTCGACTGAAATTTAATAAAGTCGAACACCATGAAAAAAACTAATATTTTTTAATATCATTAATGTATTTGATGTACACGAGCATGTAATAAGAAATTTGATTTATATGGTTTTTTTTCACACGTAGACAGAAAATGGTCTTATTTATTAAGACGACGGCAAAGCAATTTTTTAAGGTTTGTCTTATAAACAAAATACACCGCAATATTAAAGAGGGTGTGGATAATCAAAATTATTCTTCAAAGCACAAGACAGAGAAAATAGTGAGATTTGGTGAACTGCTTAGGCCTTGGCTATATAAAGCGCTTGATATCAACAGGCGTAGGTTGGGTGCCTTGGAATGAGCTTTTGGTCTGGAGGGGCAACCTGCAAGGGGAAACATTGATGTGATATTGATATAGTACGCTATATCTGCGATTTTCTGCAAAACCTATAAAATTGTGAGGTTCTATAGCACAGTCGGTAAGAGCGTTGATTTTTACATGATGTCATTTGTTTAGTTACGTCGAGCAAATGACGGCTGTGGATCCCGATCTCGATCGGCGTGTGATAGTCCGATGACCTTGAATAAGTCACTCATAATTCCAGTTGACCCAGCTGTAAATGGGTATTGATAATCCGGGAAAGATCAATGTCAAGAGGTTTGGCCAAGGACCAGCTGATAGTTTCTAAAGGATAGTGTGAACCTAAGTTGTTATCCTTGTAAAATATAGTTAGGCCTATAGTTGTTTCTTTCTTTCTTGGATGGCATCCTTTCTACCTTGAGCAATGCTGTTTTCAGAAAGGGTCACTCCCCTACTTCAACGCGTTCGTACAACTACTGTGTAGTTGGATACATCGGGGGTTGGGGCATGTTTTCGTAACCGCTAACCATAGATTTCAAAACTTTTCAGAGATGGCTTCGGTATTTTGCGTTTAAAAGTCAAACCCGTGTTTCATATTAAAATTATTGACTGACACCTGAAATATTTGTCGTAGCAGGCGAAATAAAATTTGAATTATTTCAGAAGGATCCCAGACGCTGAACTATTGATAGTAAAATTGGCTTTTAAAAAAAACTAAGAACCACAGACGTCTGGCTGAAATTAGGAATGGTGCAAACGAGGTTCTATCAGTGTACCAGATACACTTCAAAAGATTAGCAAACCTCTTTACAAACCCTTTAAGAGTGATGTCCGTTTATCCGGCTGCTTTAGTTGCAGGAAAGAGGATGCTCGAGGGTAGCCTATATCTCCGAGTTCAGTGATGTCTGAATTTCATAAGGAGTCCATTAAATAAACATTTGGTTATGTTTTTTTCTGCGTGACTCTTCATGCCATTCCTGATCAGACGAAATTCTTATGCATCTCATGTTCTAGGTCATATACTATTCAACCAATCAAATACTCTGTTCTAGAAAAGTTCTCCTTACTATTTGTGAGGAATTATGAGATTTTCATCGTAGAAAATTGACTTATATTACTTGCCTAGTTCTAACAGTGTTTTTGAACATGATTACAAGAAAAATTTCCTAAGTTCATGGATGTAAAGTGAAGTCATCTGGAGCTAAAACACGAAAACAAAACATCTAAATCTGGCTACGTATTCTCGAAACTCTCTTAGCGCTAGGATGTCCTAGGTTCTTATCTTCTAACATTGATTCTAGAACATCCTAGGTTCTTATCTTCTAACATTGATTCTAGGACATCCTAGGTTCTTATCTTCTAAAATTGATTCTAGAACATCATAGGTTCTTATCTTCTAACATTGATTCTAGAACATCCTAGGTTCTTATCTTCTAACATTGATTCTAGGACATCCTAGGTTCTTATCTTCTAAAATTGATTCTAGAACATCATAGGTTCTTATCTTCTAACATTGATTCTAGAACATCCTAGGTTCTTATCTTCTAACATTGATTCTAGGACATCCTAGGTTCTTATCTTCTAAAATTGATTCTAGAACATCATAGGTTCTTATCTTCTAACATTGATTCTAGAACATCCTAGGTTCTTATCTTCTAACATTGATTCTAGGACATCCTAGGTTTTATCTTCTAACATTGATTCTAGAACATCCTAGCGCTAAGATCGTTTAGAGAATATGGGGCCAGTATTTTAATGAGATTGATAAACAATGAGCACTTGGAATCCTCCAATATCTAAACATGTTTTTCATTCTTTTATTTTATTTAACAATAAATTAACAAAATAAATAAATTAAAATCATGATTCTGAAACAAATTTAACAACATTATTGATTAAATTCTGAAATTTTTTGTTTTATCTGTCATTGAGGCATCCTTTTTATATTTTTGAACTTTCCACAATGATTTTGTCTCATTCTCTTCTCTACATCAGATAATTTTCTATTACATGTCATTTATAAACATTTTAATATTTAATAAACTTTGCCAAGTTCAGATCTAAAGCCAGCAATATTTCCCCACTTTATTTAAAAATTTAGGAAACATTCCAATCTAGGTGTCATTTAAGATCTAGAATTCATCAGGTTTTACAGAACAGTGTGAGTTGTATTAAAGGTACCACTTGTAATGTTGTTAAATCTGCTAAAACCCCCTGAAAATATACAGATGAAGAATTACAAAGAAGAAAACTAGCATTACTTATAAGGATTTTGAATTATGTTCATGAGGATCCTGTCTACCAGCTGGTTCTTGACCAAACCTTTTGACTAACAAGGATAACTTTAGTTTATGAGGATCCTGTCTACCAGCTGGTTCGTAGCCAAACCTCTTAGCATTGATCTTTCTAAATTATCGGTACCCATTCACAGCTGGATCAACTGGAATAACCAGGAAAGATGAGTTATTCATGGTTGCTATAGCATGGAATTGGAACTCTGTCTTTTTATTGCAGTCGGCAGCGAGTTGGATTGTCGTCTGCTAGTTAGATGTTCCTTCTTAAGGTAAGAAAATTTCAGATGCCATGGTTAGTGTTTTCAAGATTTGGCCTAGTATTAGCTTTCAAACACTAAAGGGAAATGTATACAGTTCTTTGTAAGCTTTGAAAGCACCTGTTATTAAGCATCAGGGACCAGCCAGCAACCCTATTCAGTTTGCATTGAAGAAATTTGTCAAGAAATTACTGCCACTTTTAAGAAAGAAATGATAGCTGAAGTTTTTTTTTTAATGGAGTATTGAAGGATATCACTTACTTCAGCTGCATTAAATGTTTGAACTTTCATTAAATTGGTTTTTCTAAAAGAAAATATAGCAACTGCCAACACTAAAAGGAAACCATAGAAAATAAATTTGAATTAGACGAAAAAACCTAAGATGATTTTCTGCAGAATTAATTTTCAAATTATCCATCAATGCGTAAAATAAAATTTCTTAAATTTATCTGGAATGAAAATACTACATGGAATTACAAAAAAGTAGGCAGACCCATTGGCTGTGGCAGGCAGGGCCCCCCGTTTATTGTCAAACCTAAGGTTTAGACGTTTTTTTCATATCAGCCCCTCCAATCTGTATCAGTTATGGGAAAAAAAAGGGTTGAAAATAGTTTTCGCCTAATTTTTCTGTGGCTCACTTAACTCGCCATCTACAATCTGATGAATTCCTTAAAGAAATTGAGTTCAATTGGCCCAATTTCAGATCCTGAATACAGATCAGAGCCCAGACAAATCAAAAGCGAAACATGTATTTAAACAGATTTCCTCAAGATACATCTAACAGAAAAGAAAAAGGTTCCAATTCTACTGACCTGATAATATTTCTAGAGAATTGTACGCTAGAATTCTATCCCATAATACTAAAACTTGATCACTGGCTAGAAACCCTGAGAACGCTCTCATCAACCATTTGAAGGAAATCTTTAATCTAAAAACGTTTTTATTCTATTAATATAACATCCACTCCCCCATCTTCACAATGTCAAGGTTATGAACTCCAGACAATTATAATACTAATATTAAAGGTCAAGGTCAAAAGCTGAGTAACTATCATCATAACAGTATTTATAACACAGTGTTATTAACTCGCTAGATATAAAATGCATTATTATACAAAATATCAACAAAGATAATAAATTTCTGTACCTATTGGGTTAATACCAAAGGTCAAGGTCAAAGTAATAATATGATAACTTACGGTTGACAACCGACTGATTTTAAATGAAAAAACAGCTCAGGTTCCCTATCTTGTAGTAATGTTTCAAATAATAAACTTAAAGAAAGAATACCCTGAAAATTTATAAAAACCCTTGAAATGTAAAAAAAATCCTTTGAAATAAAAAAAAACTTGTGCCAATTCACATAGACGGTTTTGGAAACTTACTTTCATGTAGCTCCTACTCAAGAACAAAAATTTCAAAAACGCTTTGGAAGTATGTTAGCCTTAATAGCGTGGAATATTGTTAGATTTTGGGAGAACTAAATGCAAGATTTCAAATATGAAAAGTTATGCATTGCATAGCTAAATTTGAGCTGCATACAAAGCATGTATTTAGGCAAGTGTTACCTTATTTTAAGGTTAATTTGATATAGCGCCACAGGTTCAAATCCCCTTCAAAACAAAAGAAATTTCAGAATCCATGGTCCATGCTTTATAGAGTTAATTCAACTGACCTGTGGATGGGATGATAGACAATGTAATCGAAAGAAATATCTCATAAAGAATTCACGGAAAACATAGTACAGCTTGATAGGTTCTTTATATAAATAACATAGTGGTGATACTGAAAATAAACCTTAGTATTATAAAGCAATGACATGCTGTGTACAATGAGGGGAATTCTACAAGAATAGTGGCAATAGATCTTTATCATTGTCAACCATTATGGGTTTGTTAATGTGCAGCTCATGGGCCTTGTTTCATTGGAGTTCCATCTGAATGAATGGACATTTTGCATAAGGGCCGAATACTCACCATACATAGCAAAACCATGAAATGGGATAACACCATTAGGAGGATAATATACAGCAGAATCCTCTAGTCCCATTCTACCACGAATATAGGATTTAGCTGGGGTAATGGTGGAATTGTTCATTAGATGGTTGAGTACTGTTACATCTCTAGAGAATGGTAACAAGACCTGGAAAGGAAACAGACTTGTGTCAGAGACTACAAAATAACGGCAAATATGAGCTCAAATCTTTATAATGACAAAAGACTTTCTTGACCTTTAACAGTCATATTTCTTACATTTTTATATACATTGGCAGTGATTAATCAGCAGAATTTAGTTCAGCGATCTTTGGTTTTCATGTGATTTGATCTGGATTATCAATAAAATAAGCGATTATCTAATTGATTAAGATGAGAGTGTTAGGACCACTGATTAGTGCCGTAATTCAGAATACACAGAGTATCGGAGTACTCAGAGTTTTTTAGGCTAGCCTAAGAAGGAAATCAATTGGGACCAGAAAATGATGTCGGATTACGCAGAATGTTGGAATAACATGCTACAGACTCTTTTGGAAACACCTGATAGTACTTATCTTTGGAGGAGACCACTACTTTTACTATCAATTTTACCATGCTTTGGATGAGATATTGATTTAACTTAAATGTCTTGTTTGTACAGAGTTTTATTTAACTGTAAGAGGTACATTACTTTTAGCAAATGCTCATCTAATGCTGTGGTCGAAGGTTTTTGATAAAACTACTGTAAGACTTAGTGAAGAAGATCAGGGTTTACCTGATACAGAAAATCTTCAAACACGAAGTAATGATCATCATTCGTAGCTGTTAACTTGACGTCCTGTAACACAATAGGCTGAAATTATTTCAAGTCATTTTTACAATCATGAATTCAATATTTGATGAATTTGAGAATCAATCATCTTTCCTCATTATTCCAGTTGACAAACTTAAATTAACAGATCTTCAAAGAAAAAAGTGTGCCCTTCCAGTTTGGAAAATACTTTTAGGGTAAAAAAGCATGCATTATACAAGCAAATATACAGTATATGGTTATCAGGTAAAACAGTGTGCATTATACAAGCAAATATACAGTATATGGTTATCAGGTAAAACAGTGTGCATTATACACACAAATATACAGTATATAGTTATCAGGTAAAACAGTGCATTATGCACACAAATATACAGTACATAGTTATCAGATAAAACAGTGTGCATTATACACACAAATATACAGTATATTATGGTTATCAGGTAAAACAGTGTGCATTATACACACAAATATACAGTATATAGATATCAGGTAAAACAGTGTGCATTATACACACAAATATACAGTATATAGTTATCAGGTAAAACAGTGTGCATTATACACACAAATATACAGTATATGGTTATCTGGTAAAAAAGTGTGCATTATACACACAAATATACAGTATATGGTTATCAGGTAAAAAAGTGTGCATTATACACACAAATATACAGTGTATGGTTAATCCAGTAAAAAAAGCATGCATTATACAAGCAAATATACAGTATATGGTCATCAGGTAAAAAAGTGTGCATTATACACACAAATATACAGTGTATGGTTAATCCAGTAAAAAAAGCATGCATTATACAAGCAAATATACAGTATATGGTTATCAGGTAAAACAGTGTGCATTATACAAGCAAATATACAGTATATGGTTATCAGGTAAAAAAGTGTGCATTATACAAGCAAATATACAGTATATGGTTATCAGGTAAAACAGTGTGCATTATACACACAAATATACAGTATATGGTTATCAGGTAAAAAAGTGTGCATTATACACACAAATATACAGTATATAGTTATCAGGTAAAACAGTGTGCATTATACACACAAATATACAGTACATAGTTATCAGGTAAAACTATATAACCAATTTATGTGTAAATTACCTTGTATAGCAAATTATCTACCAATAATTCATGCTGTAAAACGTTGGTCTTTAACTGTTCATAGTATAACACTGCCTGTTAATATTAAATCATGATTATCAGTGGTATAAATGATAAATGTTAGACTGGGGGAAAAGAATATTGAGAGTTCAGAGAGGGGAAGGGGGGCAGCCTCCGTTAAAAGTAAAATTTCAAACATTGAATTTTTCAAAATGGATAATCACATCTAGTCTCAGAGTTGTATCATGTGTTCTGACAAAATGAGCAGACCCTGTATCTAATGTTTGGAAAAAGTATAAGTGTACATACCACATCATCAACCTGTACTCCCAGCATCTGACACCATAATTCAGATCTTAGCCCTACAGCACTACCTTTCTTAGTAAACTCACTAGCTAGAGGACCATGGTTTACTCCAATAACTACATCAAAATAAAACGTAAATGTTGTAACTAATATGTTGGTCAAGGCTACTTAATATTATGAGCTGTTTTTGTGATGATGTCATTAATTTCTTAGTTTTAGTGGAATTGCAAACAAAGATGTCTGATTGAAAATTGGAATGGTGAAATTTGATGCTATCAGTGTCCCCAATACATATACAAAAATTTAAAAAGCCTCTTTACAATCCTTTTAAGTACATAGTGTCTAATATAAACCTTCACTAACAATACTCTCTCACAAGAGGTGATGTGTTCATGCCTGTGCTTGTGCTTTCGTAACATTACTTAACTGCAATCCTACAACCTAAAATTCCTACCTTTTTTACCAAGTTTATACCTATCTAGATCAAATAACTCCATGGACAAATCTTGACCATCGTCCATTCCGGACTGGCATTGATTAATGGACATTTCGTTATACTGGAAACGCTGAAATAAAATGGAATGGGCTTTTACATCTGCCTATCTACTTGAAAAAAAGGAGAATTTGTATGTTTTACGTTTACTTTCGATTAAACACAAATACAATAAAAAAAATACTCTATGTCATACATACTTATAGTTTTCTTTCAAATTCAGTTCAAAATTATAAACGTATCCTGGATTTCCATTTCATAACATTTATAACAAAAAGCTTTTGACCTACAAAGTGGCCAGCAGATGACCATGTAGTCAAAATTTTCAACCCTTTCGCAATATATACCCGAGCAGCCGGTATACCGGCCGTTGCTAAGTGACGTCATACAACGTTAACGTCATACGCTTTTACTTTTATTACTTGGAGTTCAGGGTATATGACGTTGTATTTCAATTACACTCAGGGTTCAAAGGGATATAAAACTAAAACCAAGAAATCGTACCAATTCATCCATGGATTTTACACTCAATGGTGGCTGAACGATACCCCATAAGTTAAATCTGAAAATACACAGATATTATCATACGTGTGATACAGTTTGAACCAAAAATAGTCAGATAAAGGTTCAGATAAAAGGAGACTTTTATAAACAAACATATAAAAAGTTTTATAATAGATATACTGATAGCACCTCCGCAGTGTCAAAGCTTCTCTTTACAATAATGGGAGTACCTTGGTAAAGGGAGGCAACTAGTAGAAAAATTAAATCCAAAATGGATATGCATAATCTTATAAAGTATAGCACTAAATCAATGTTATTTGCCATGCACATTGTGTACGACCTTATTTAGGGATCTACAACATAAACTGATATATAAAACAACACCTTTTATTCCAATCGATTATAATACAAAACAGATAACATAGCTACCCTGATTCTGTTTTAGATCTGTAATTAGTGTTACTTAAACCAATGATCACTTCTAAAAAATCTTTCGGTGCATATACTGGTCTGATTGCACTCAAATCTAAATATAAAACAATAATTCAAACATACATTCAATTTTGGCCAGACAAATCTGGGATTTCCCTTTCTTCAGGCGTGATAAACAGACCGCACGTTAAGGGTCAGACATCAAATTTCACTTTTACAGGAGATGCTTTGACTCACTTTTGAGATGCTAGATTTTGAGAATTTACACTATGTTAAGAGCCAAATTTCACATAAATTTCTGTATCTGAACCATGAGTGAATCCATGATGACATAGCCAGACATTCTACATACCTAACACACTGCACCAAAATACAGTCGATGGGTAGGCTTAACTTACAGAGTTGTATGAGGAAATCTGACCCCTCCACTGTTGATAATATGCTAATTAAATAATTACCTGGTCCTTCAGCACCAAGCTCAAACCACCTCTGATTTAAATCTTTCTGTTCTCTCTCTGTTCTCTACAATTAAAGGAATATAGTACCCCTAAATATTTACTTTACCAGCTGATAGAGCTCAATTTCAACTATCTGTATAGTCGTTTAAATACTTACTTTACCAGCTGATAGAGCTCAATTTCAACTATCTGTATAGCCAACTAAATATTTACTTTACCAGCTGATAGAACTCAATTTCAGCTATCTGTATAGTCATCTAAATATTTACTTTACCAGCTGATAGAGCTCAATTTCAGCTATCTGTATAGTCATCTAAATATTTACTTTACCAGCTGATAGAGCTCAATTTCAACTATCTGTATAGTCATTTAAATATTTACTTTACCAGCTGCTAGAGCTCAATTTCAGATATCTCCTTTTTGCAATTCAGTAAAACTAAGTGACAGCACTATCACAAATATTTGCCAATAATATCTATCTAGGATATGACACCTTAAAACATCAAGAAGTACTGGAATTACAAGAACACCAGACGTCTAATTGAAATTGGAATAATTCAAATTGATGATATCAGTGTCCCCGATACACATAAAAAGTTCAGTCCATCAAAATATTTATTCTAGGGTCTAGAGTTTTTAATTAATAAGGCAGGTGCTCCCCGTTCTGATGACAGATTGAAACAAGGTTACTGATCACTGTGCACAGCTCTTACCTTCCTAGCTAATGGGATACTTAATTCTGTACACATACTGTTCAAACTTTTTAATATTTTCTTTTCCCAGGCTTGCTGTAAATACAATTACACTATAATATGATTATTTTACAAAATGAATCCTTTCTCTTCTGTGAGCTACTGATTGAAAAATACTTGCCATTTACGTCTAATAAATGCATTCAAAAATGATTATTCAAATTTGTTTTTGACGGTACATCAACGGCAGAAATTGAAGTCAGGTGATAACTTGGATTGTAATATAAAATCTCAAAATAAAATGAAATGAAATGAATGGAGTTTTACGTCCTACTTTTCTGCACCATGTGAACTACCGAAAATGGGCAATGCAATGCAGGGTGCAAAGAGGGAAATTTTGTCAGGACAGCTGCATAAGCATGCTCTTTTTCGATTTCCAACTATTGAGGGATCTTTAACGTGCATAGCCTGTAGCCTGTGGTTTATTGACCTATCTGAACGACTTAATGCTTTTTCCATGTCAGCCCCTCTTATCTGCATCACTGACAGGGGGAAACCGGGTTGAAAAATCTGCTGGTTTTACCTCGATCTATGCCAGGATTGAACAAGCGATATACAATCTCAAGAGCTCTGTCAAATTACTAGAGGCATAGAAAGAGTTATCATTTCTCAAAATTGAATGAATCAAACTGATAATTATTATTAGAAATTATAGGATTCTAGATACTTTAGAATTTTCTTAATATAAATCTAAAAGAATTTTTGTCGGCATCCGGGCATCGTTTATATGAGATGGAAACAATTATTACCTGTGCCTTCAGAACGTAACCCAACCGTTCTTTATTATACTCTACTGGATATTTCGGGTTAACATCAGTCGTATTATTTTGTATGTGTTTATAAACAGCATTTCGTAACTTTCTATCCCAACCTTAAATATGTGAATAATTAATGATCCGAATGGTAAAATGAAACTCGACATCCAAATCCAAAATATTATATTGGCAACACATTGGTTGCAAAGTCAAGATGATTCATGACTAACACAATTAAAAAATATAAGCTTGTTAAAAGTACTGTTCAATTTGAAGAGACTATAAACAGAGCAGAGGTCCTTATTGAGCACTACAGGCTGTGCATGTCAAAGATCTCTAGACAGTTGTTTGAAATTGACAAAGGCTAGACTGCAACTCTGACTGCTTTATATAACAGAAGTCAGAATAAATGACACAACTTGTCTCCATTGCACACTGCATAGCATGTTTCTATTCATTAGCCAAATCAGGTGAATAAGGGTAGGATGTAGAATCAGAATGATCAAAATTTCTAGTAGACCCATTGGAGATGTTATATACTACAGTACATCTTGGATTAGTAAAACTTTCACCTTGGCCAGTGCTTCTATAGGAGAGTTTTTTCTATAACACTTAACACCAAAATAGATAAAAACAAAGTAGGCTAATTTATAATTGAAAAAATTTGCATACTCAATAAACTTCTCCTACCTGAATCTTTTAATGCTGATTGAACTGTCCTTCTTAAATCTGATAATTTAACACTGGGTTTATTCACTTCTTCCTATCAAATTCAAAATAATATGTTATTAATGGTTTCTTACAACAGCTATTTCATAATTTCAATCCCTTGTATACAAATGACTCAGTAAGTAAGCAGAAAGAGAAGGTTGTCCAGAAAGACTCTCTTTCTCAAGGCCAAATACTGGTATTTGAAATTTTTCAGTAAGAAAGCATTTACACGATTTTGGCACATTTTGATTCGACTAAATTGCTAAAATGGAAACTCCTTGCAACACCTGTAATAGTGTGATCTATTAACTATAGGATAGGCCTACTTATAGAAATACTACTGAGCCCTAAACTGATACCCTGTTGTGTTCACTTATCACTACACTAACAACAGTAACAACAGGTACAGCCTAAATTTCATGTTCAAAACATTGAACTTGGGATTTTGCAAGGCATTGTCTATTTAGCGTTGACCACTTGGAATATGATGCGAATTTCGACCAATCAACACCAAGATGACAATAGCCCACCCGTTACTTGAGTGCCACGCTAGTTTAGCACTGGTCACCTCATCATATCACGAATACGGGTTTTGACATGGTCTTATTAACGAAAGGGTGTGGTCGGGGTGACCACATCGTGTCCCACGCCCTACACTTTTCTTAACCTTAACTAGCTTAACCTTCTTACTTACTTGTGCTGCATTGAAGAGATCCGAGTAAAGTTTTGATGCCTTCAGTTGTTTGAAAAGTTCTATTTGGTACGTTTCGGAATATTTTTCATTCATTTTGATACGATCATGGCTTGAAACACAACGAAAATTGATCTTTTCTTCCTAAGTTTGTTTGTTGTCGATGTAAACTAGGATAGACTATGTCAGCCTTCAACGTTGAAGAGTTATATACACACGGGACGCAACTCTATTAAGAACTGTAAAATACAGACTATAAATAACTTCTGCAAAATTTTTCAAGAGAATGATGTGACTCAGCAAGATATTTAAGTCATCTGAATTGTTCAATCTTTTTAGAATTTCTTAAGTGTCGGGCCTGAATAGGACCTGCATAAGTATCATGGTGTTCAGTGTGTGTGTGTGAGGAAGGGTGGGTGAGGGTGTGTTTGTGAGGGAGGGTGTTTGTGAGGGAGGGTGTTTGTGTTTGGAGGGCTGTGTAATACTAATAGTGAACAAATTTAAAAGGTAGATAAATGTGTCATTTTATGTGATTTTTCAAATCTCTGAGGCGTACGATAGTCGTTTGTGTTCAGAAGTAAAAAGTCAGTTTCAGCACAACTAAATCGTTAATATTCATCCAATGACAGTGTCTCAATCATCACAGGGACTGGTTGAACCAAAAGACAAAATTTCATTATAAAAATAAAAATTTATTGTAACAATCATACAACATTCATATCATTAAAAATCGATTATAAATAAACTAAAATTCTATATTTACAAAAAATCATTTATCAGTCAAGCAAATATATTTGTATCTGTGTCCTTGGTTCCCTATCTTGTGAGTGCCACCCCCTCCTACCGGCGTCTTCCCCACCCCCTTGGAATACATGCATGCCCTCAGGGGATACTCAAAGGTTTTTTAGACATTTCAATCAACAATAGTTATCAAACAATTATACATTTGAAAACAACCCATGTTACACATGTTTGACACAGAAAAATATGCCAATCATAATCTGACCAAATATACTGAAAATTGGTGTTCATTGAAAATTCATTTATATATAGAGCTTATTATTAATAGGCCTGTATTTTGGGAATCTGGAGTGGCTAGTCTGAATCGACATCAAGATTTTTGTTTATCGATTTATCAAATTGATCCAAATCTTTCATGATTTTATCCACATCTTCTTCCATTTCATTATCACTTTCATTTATAATTGTTATTTCTTCATTATTTTTCTTTTTTCTTGTGATTCGATTTCTTGATATTTCTTCTTTCTAAAATCATGAAATAAAAAATCATACTTTATAAGGATAAAAACTCAGGTTAACCAGGATACTGTCTACCAGCTGGTCATTGATCTTTCTCAGATTACCTAATCCCAATGATGGGCAACGGGAGATTTGCTTGGATAGCTGCATTAGTCTAATTTTTCTGTATTTCCAATTATCAAGAGATCTTTTACATGCACAGCCTGTAGCACACGGGGCCTCTGTTTATTGTCCCATCCGAACGACTTGACGATTTGGCCCAGTCAGCCCCTCGACCTGCATCACTGATAGAGGGAAACTATATAAAAGATAATGACATTATCGAAATGGTTTTGAAATATGACTTTTCCAATATTTGATCAAATGATTCAAGAATATAAAAAAGTTAATCTGAATACAAGGCCAATAACTCTGAGATGGCATCATTAAAGAGGGTGAAATTCAAACAAAAAGATACCTTCATGCGTTCTTTCCTTCGCCTATACAACAATTCTCTGTCCTCATCCCGTGCTGATGCAAATTCTCTCAATCGTAAAAACTCTTCCATTTGTTGCATTGTTCTAGCTTTAGTTAAAAACTCTTGAACAGCTGAAAAAAGGTATAAAATTTTTCTTTAGACATACTGAATAAAAGGTGCTAAAAATTTCTGAAAACACGTGGCTTTCATTACTCATTCCTTGAATGATCCAGGACGGCCATTGAACTCAATTCATGTCTACCTTACTAATTTTGTCATCTTGAATGATCCAGGATAGCTATTGAACTCAATTCATGTCTACCTCATTGATTTTGTCATCTTGAATGATCCAGGACGGCCATTGAACTCAATTCATGTCTACCTCATTGATTTTATCATCTTGAATGATCCAGGACGGCCATTGAACTCAATTCATGTCTACCTTACTAATTTTGTCATCTTGAATGATCCAGGATTGCCATTGAACTCAATTCATGTCTACCTTACTAATTTTGTCATCTTGAATGATCCAGGACGGCCATTGAACTCAATTCATGTCTACCTCATTGATTTTGTCATCTTGAATGATCCAGGATTGCCATTGAACTCAATTCATGTCTACCTCATTGATTTTGTCATCTTGAATGATCCAGGATAGCTATTGAACTTATTTCATGTCTACCTCATTGATTTTGTCATCTTGAATGATCCAGGATGGCCATTGAACTCAATTCATGTCTACCTTACTAATTTTGTCATCTTGAATGATCCAGGATGGCCATTGAACTCAATTCATGTCTACCTCATTGATTTTGTCATCTTGAATGATCCAGGACGGCCATTGAACTCAATTCATGTCTACCTCATTGATTTTGTCATCTTGAATGATCCAGGATGGCCATTGAACTCATTTCATGTCTACCTCATTGATTTTGTCATCTTGAATGATCCAGGATAGCTATTGAACTCAATTCATGTCTACCTTACTAATTTTGTCATCTTGAATGATCCAGGACGGCCATTGAACTCAATTCATGTCTACCTTACTAATTTTATCATCTTGAATGATCCAGGACGGCCATTGAACTCAATTCATGTCTACCTCATTGATTTTGTCATCTTGAATGATCCAGGATGGCCATTGAACTCAATTCATGTCTACCTCATTGATTTTGTCATCTTGAATGATCCAGGATTGCCATTGAACTCAATTCATGTCTACCTTACTAATTTTGTCATCTTGAATGATCCAGGATGGCCATTGAACTCAATTCATGTCTACCTCATTGATTTTGTCATCTTGAATGATCCAGGATAGCTATTGAACTCAATTCATGTCTACCTTACTAATTTTGTCATCTTGAATGATCCAGGACGGCCATTGAACTCAATTCATGTCTACCTTACTAATTTTGTCATCTTGAATGATCCAGGATGGCCATTGAACTCAATTCATGTCTACCTCATTGATTTTGTCATCTTGAATGATCCAGGATAGCTATTGAACTCATTTCATGTCTACCTCATTGATTTTGTCATCTTGAATGATCCAGGATAGCTATTGAACTCAATTCATGTCTACCTTACTAATTTTGTCATCTTGAATGATCCAGGATGGCTATTGAACTCAATTCATGTCTACCTTACTAATTTTGTCATCTTGAATGATCCAGGATGGCTATTGAACTCAATTCATGTCTACCTTACTAATTTTGTCATCTTGAATGATCCAGGATGGCTATTGAACTCAATTCATGTCTACCTTACTAATTTTGTCATCTTGAATGATCCAGGATGGCTATTGAACTCAATTGAAGTCTACCTCATTGATTTTGTCATTTTTGGATTGCTTGATAAAGACGAAAACATCATCGTTGAAATTTTGCAAGTTATTCATTAAAGTAATTGTTATCCATATAATTGTGTCCAGTTATTCATACCCAAGTGACTAAATGCCACTCAAGGAAATTTTTTGGATTGCAACAATTTCTATTTCCAAACCTACTGTCTTGATGAGGATTGTATATATCTAAAACATAGCAAGGGATGGATTGTAGACTTAAAGTAAAGATGCACCCAAATTTTTGTGGGAAGTGATATTAACTTTCATTCAGTTTGGACTCACCTAGGTTATTTGCCGGTGTAACTCGGTAAGTGGAGTTTCCTGCAGTACCTGAAAATAGTTGAAATTAGAATCATAATTAGACAATTTACTGTTGTTTTAGATCTTTAACCCTTTAAACTCCCATGTCTGGTTTACCCGCCACATACCATAACTACGCATTATATATCCAAGCAGCAGGTTACTTCGTGTTGTCACGTGTTGTAAGTTATATTACTTGAACTTCAGGGTACCGGTATATGATGTTATATTTCATTTACACTGTTCAAAGGGTTAATTTTGCTTCCAATTATTTGAAATTTGTCAAGGAATCTAGACATAGACATTATTCACGCCTTGTTTTTGAGACAACGAAAGCAAGGTTCGTAATACAAATTACGTCATCCATTGATAAGATGGCGACGTCATGTGAATGAATAGCCAACTTGACGTCATTAAACATCAAGGTGGGAATATTTTGCAGTGACATCACGTAACCTTTCAAAGGTTTGCGCTATGAGCCTCGTTCTGGATCCAATATGGCCAACGCGTGAATAAGGTCTATTGAATACTTGACTCCATCATTATCTGAAAAATAGATTCAATCATGAATATTTCACCAATTCATCACAACAAAATTGTTGAATTTGTAACACCATGCATAAATCTGCCATATAAATGACAAGGAACAAAGTCTACCTGGCTCCCCCTGTCCTGTCAATGACAGTTGTCAGTTGAGGGACTGACATGGAAAAAGTGTCTAGGGACAATAAAATAAGGGCCAATTTGCTACAGATTGTTTCGACTGTTGGAAATTTAAAAAATAAAGAGTAGAATGATGCTGTCCTCGCAAAATACCCTTATTGCACACTGTATGGCGTTCTTCGTTAGCTTAATTAGACTAGGTGAAGAAGGGTAGGACGTAAAACTGTTGAATGAAGTGTTTACATTTCTTACTTTTGCGAGCTGTTGTGTGTCCTCCGGGAGGGGCTGTTCTCAATCTCTGTTTGATGTCGCTGGAAACCAAACGTGATTCCATCGGAGGCAAGAGTGTCACAGACTGCCAAAAAGTCTTCGCACATGCAATATCGTCTTCGGTGGAATCCGAAAATTCACTTCTTTCTGGTCTTTTCGTGAAATCCAGTAAAGTGACCGCCATGTTTGTTTACCTCAACAACATAGGACTTTATGTGGTTTTAACAACACAAGAGTTACAAAGGGAATTAACTCTTTGTTTATTTTTCATCCAGACTACATTCCTCGTTCTTATTCAGTCCAGAGCCGCAACAGAGCCAATATGGTAATGTGTTCAGTCAACTCGTCTACATGTCAACCCTGAGTTATCTCGCCTACACAAATTATTGAAATAAAGATGTTATTTTGAAAACAAGTGGTGGATTTCTTATAATAACAATCAAACGATCGGAAATTTATACATGGCTTTGATTGTGAGCGATCTTTCAATTAACGGAGATCAGCGGTAAATAAACATTATGATAACAATTTAACAAACCAATTATCATAATTACCAATGAAAACCTAATACTGATTTAGTTAGGCCAAATAAAGCTAGGATTCCATATACGCGTCATGCGGATCTGTAATGCGTCATCCGTCAAGCGTTAAAAATCGAAATGGTTGGTTTAAGAGGGTATGATTCCATATATGCGGAAGCGGTATCCGTCAAATAGTTTCCGTCAAGAGTCAAAAATAAAAAAGGGTTGGGTGAAGCGATTTTTAACGTATCCGGACGCCTTTCCGGGCAGAGATCTCCCAAATGTGACGTATTTTGTGTGGATCCGCATAACGCGTATATGGAATCTTAGCTGAATGGTATAAATAACACATAACATAATGCATGTAAATTATTTATTTACGATTCGGAATAGATATTAATTATACTCAGTGTAGGGTGTTGGCTACATTACTCACAATCTTCATCGATTTTAGAGTAGAAGAAATTCAACCCAGTTGCTCCTCGTGAAGTTTCTAGTTGTCTTATATCAAACAGAGCGCACTCTGTAGGTGTAGAGACAACGGACAAACATCTGCGATTAAAGGCGCACAACTGTTGACACTTAGCCCTTGTTAGTGAACCTCCGATAACTATAATGACAGGAGATGTGTATAGTTTGCAGCGATACTCGAGGAAAGACCATGTCGTACACCTAGGATGGTTGTTACATGATGTCTCGCATGCAGTCCGTAGTTTTCTCTGGTTTTCACAATTGGAGCATACCCAGGTGGAAAGCCTTGACACCCGACTTCCTGGAACTGACAAGGACCTGCAAACAAGAAAATATACAAAAAAACTATATTTTGATTCGTATTTGTGAAGCAGTTTTCTAACTAAGGCTTTGTCGTACCTTTAGTAACGTATCGACACGGGATCCGGCAGTGATTAAAGATCTCTCGACAAATGGAAATCGAAAAAGATCCGATGTTGCGTGACCTGGCAAAAAATCCTTCATTGCACGCTGTGTGGCGTTTGCTGTAGGCCTACTTATTGAAACCAGTTGCAGAAATGTAGTACGTAAAACTTCATTTCATTTCTTACCTACACATGTTATATCCGTTTCCCATTCTCCACACGTATTACATATTACAGTTCCTCCTCTCCCTTGTTTAGTAAAAGGTCTTTTACACCTAAAATTATATTTAACTCCAATAACTCTTGACCCGATCGCAAAAGTCAGGTCACCATTTCTTATTACCGGGTTCAACGGACATTCAACTGAAAAAGAAACATCAAATATAAAGATGGCAAATGGTCAAGATGGCAATTGGTCAAGATGGCAATTGGTCAAGATAGCAATTGGTCAAGATAGCAATTGGTAAAGATGGCAACTGGTTAAAATGGCAATTGGTCAAGATGACAAATGGTCAAGATGACAATTGGTCAAGATAGAAATTGGTCAATATTGCAATTGGTCAAGGTGGCAATTGGTCAAGATGGCAATTGGTCAAGATAGCAACTGGTAAAGATGGCAATTGGTCAAGATGGCAATTGGTCAAGATAGCAATTGGTCAATATAGCAATTGGTCAAGATGGCAATTGGTCAAGATGGCAAATGGTCAAGATGGAAATTGGTCAAGATAGCAATTGGTCAAGATAGCAATTGGTAAAGATGGCAACTGGTTAAAATGGCAATTGGTCAAGATGACAAATGGTCAAGATAGCAATTGGTCAATATTGCAATTGGTCAAGATGGCAATAAGTCAAGATAGCAATTGGTCAAGATGGCAATTGGTCAAGATAGCAATTGGTCAAGATAGCAATTGGTAAAGATGGCAACTGGTTAAAATGGCAATAGGTCAAGATGACAATTGGTCAAGATGACAAATGGTCAAGATGACAATTGGTCAAGATAGCAATTGGTCAATATTGCAATTGGTCAAGATGGCAATTGGTCAAGATGGCAATTGGTCAAGATGGCAATTGGTCAAGATGACAATTGGACAAGATGGCAATATGGGTCAAGATGACAAGATGACAATTGGTCATATCTGTAAAATCATCAATTATGATCTTTCAGTCATTGGTGCGCCCAGGTCAACTTAATACAGCAATTGAACAGATTATCCCAGATACCGCCGGCTGTGTTAGTAGTCGTTGAAATTTGTGCTGCTACTAGATTCTGGTCGATCTGACCCTGTAAGTTTACAATTTTCTCACCTGGTCTACATTCTGTGTCTTCATATTTCAAATTATCAGAATCACAACTCAGAATTTGTGTCATTCTGAACCCTTCACGACAAGTGATATTGACTGTTGTAAACAGTGTTGGAGAATTCGTGGTTATAATTGCATTGCTGATATTTGGCTCTGTCATGCAACCTGCAAACAATTTTGTGAAATTATTAGAAACATCATAAAGTGAAAGTAGATAGACAAAAAAATCCTGTGTAATCGTTTCGAGGTAAAACCTGTTCCTTAAGAAAAATATTATCTACAATACAAGAACAAGAATTTCCAGCATCAGGAAATAAAAAGATAAAAAATAATGACACTTGATGATCAATTT